GAGGACGTAAAACTTTTTCCAGCTTATTACAATATCTGGTCAACGGCCATCAACGTTACGAGAATTTAGATCCAGCGCTATCTTTTGAGAACTTTAGAAAATCAGCTACTGTAATAACCATCGCTCGACTGAATGATCAACTCAATCAGAAAGCGTATAATCCTCTTCCCTCCACCAACGTTTCTTCTGATAGCAATTCTGTTGACAACGCTTTAAACTTGCAATTGAAAGAAAAGCTTGGCTTTGTAATTTTGAAAAATAAAAAATGTAACAATAAGGTAAGATTGAATGTTTCGAATTATACAACTCAAATTATATTAAATTATATGTAATGAGATAGCAGTTTTCAAAAAAGAAGGAAATTGTGACATGCATTTTCAAAATTCCAACGAATATTTGAAAACATGTAAAACCAACAAAGGTAAAATTGTAGCGTGGATTTTCAGCAAGTGGCAACATTGTCATAAAATTACGATCATCTCTTGAGGATGATACTCTGCACGTATTCTGTAAATTTTTTTGGGGATTATTTTACAAAGTAGAAAAAGGCGAAAAATGAAAAAGTCAGTTATTTTGATATAAAATAAATAAACTTATTGAATCAATAAAAATATTTCTATTAACTTGAGATTTAATTCATATTATGATAAATTAAAAAAAAGAGTTTAAAGCCGATAATATACCGGTATTTCTGTACTAAATAATTTTAAAATTATTTAGTACAGAAATACCGGTATTGAAAAATGGCATCTGTATTGGATGTACTAACTGGCGGGGCAAGTAGAAAACATTTTTTTGTTTTATCGCCAAACCCTATTCGTACGTATTTGCCATAACCGTAGTATATATGTATACTAATGTAAAAATATAAACGTAAAATAAATAACAATTAGTTTAAAAAAAAAAACTTTAAAAACAAGATTCATGTTAAGAGTAATAATCAAATCAACAAGAAAAGTTTAAAAAAATAAAAGAATTAAAAGAGCAAAAAAAAGAAGAAAGAGCACGAACTTACAAGAGTAATGTATACGTTTACTTTAAGGTAGCTCATATTAAAAAACTTCGTATAAAAAATTGAAATAAAAAGCTCTCTAACTAGACAATTTTTTTTTTTCAATAATAAAGCAGACAATAAAAAAATGAAAAACAAAGTTGGTAATAAATTTGCCTCAATTTTCCAAACTTTTTGGTGCGATTTTGTGTTGAAAAATGATTTTTTTTTTGAATTTTTTAGTAATCATGTCATTTCATGACACGGTTACTAAAAAAGTTCATGACAGCTGTTACCAAAATTATGCATACTGGTTCTAAACTACCATATCTTTCATTTGTGCTTTGCTTTATAAAAGAATATGCTCCCATATGATATAATTACATTTTTTGTATATATTGTAATAAAAATCAACATAATCGCATAATATAATATATAAAACTGTTATTTGCCATCATCGTTATCCACTTATTCATTGAAAATATGAAAGTAAAATATATAACAGTTCGTGGTTAGTTAAGAAAAAGTTTTAAAAAAAATATTTATGTAAAAAGTAATATTCAAGTAAAGAACAAAAATTAAAAAATAAAACTTTATTTACAAAAATCGTATTTTTTGTAAATAAAGTACTATTTTATTTTATTTTATTTTTTAATATTTTGTAAATAAAGCACTATAAAAAAAATATACATGTATACCTCAAAACCAATTTGTATAAAAATAAAATAAATAACAATTATTGATAGTTAAAAAAAAAATTAAATTCAGATTAGATTTCAACAATAATAAAGGTAACACCATACCTAAATTAGTATAGTAAGAATATAGTAAAACTAATAAAAAAGAGGCCGCTTAAATCTTCAACATCATATTTTTTTCTATAAAGTGTCACATACTCCAATATGCATAACATGACAAAGACAAAATTGACCAATAACATCTAAATTTCGAATATACTTCTTGTTTACATATGCTCCATCCTGAGTAGATGTACCAAGTCTTTTACCATCGATATCCCAAAGACATTTAGATGTTGTTTCATTATTTCAACAATATCAAGCGCGCTCGATGAACACAAAATTTGAATTAATTCCTTTTTATCCGTGATATTGTCAGTTTTATCATGATATCAACTCTAAAATATTTTGTCCTTTTAAAGTAGTAACCTCATTGACAGTCATACTAAACTTCACTAATTTGGCTACTTTTAATTTTATGGTGTCAACCATTTTTTTTTTGCTTTTCATCAAAATCTTTGTGTAAAAGTTTCATTACATTACTTTCGTAAGCAGGAAGTTTAAATCCGTCTCAAGCTATTGACTCAAGAATATATTTATTTATTTATTTCTGGTTATAGCTCGAACTGAAATGCTATCCGTAGCCAAATCAGAAACAATATTTTGAAACTTCTTTTGCGCAAAGAAGTCGTCAATAGTTTTTTGTCTCTTCTTGCTTGCTCTCTTATCTGTTAGTATGATTGATTCTGTTGCCTTATCGAAACAAAGTCCGTGACTTTTTAAGTGATTTTTTAAGGTAGTTGTAGAATTTCCTGAGCATTTTATTATCAGGGACTACTAAAACAACGGGACGCGAAACTCTAATTTCATGTAGTTTAATAACGACAAGGTTTAATAACAAAAAATAAATTGAGTTGATTAAGTGTTAAAAATAAAACAACTTTTTGCAAAGAACGGTTAGTATTTAGTGTTTAAAATATAAGATTCATCACTTGTAAATTCTGTATGTACCACAAAAAGAAACTGAAATTCTTACTTAAAATATCACATTCCCTCTATGTTTACCTTTAAAATATTACATCCCCCTAAGTAATTCATACAATATGCAAATGAACCTGCAAATTATCCGTAAATTAGCTGTAAATAATCATTTTTAAAGAAACTGTTAATAAATTAGTTAATTATTATTTATCATACTACATTATATTCATACCATAATAATAAATATATAATCATAAATAAATTTTAAATCATATAAATGTAAAACCATAAATACATTTCAAAACGTTATTAATTATATCACCAACGTCAACTAAATAATCAGACACTAAGTATTGAGTTTCTTTCTTTTTTTGTCCTCAATGTTTAATGAAACAATATCAGATGTATTATCAAGGGTCGTAACATCTTTCAAGAAACAGTTAGTTATTATTAAGATAACTTTGCAACACCTATACTGTCTGTTTCTAAATCAAATGGTAATGTTGAATGCAAGAATAAAAATAATTTCTTTAAATACACAACACGTTTTTTAGACTTTGGAACGCTGTTAAACAGTAAATAACAAGCACAAATAAACTGGAGAAGAGTATCACCAGGATAACGCAATTTGCCACGTGAAACATAACCTGTTAATTCAGAACTAGCTGACTGTGATTTTGTTGTATCAACTACACGCTGCGGATCGACTTGTGCTGTAAATAACTAGCCGTATAAAAAAGGGCAGCATTCTTCTGATCATTAATATATTCATTGTCTGCATTAGTTAAACATTCATCTAAATAAATAATATCCTCTTCCATTAGATCGATTGTGCAACAGTCTAAATGTATGCGTGAGCAATGAATGTCAGTTTCATCCGAAGAAACTATTTTGCTAAATAATTTGAACCGCTGAAGGTGCAAACTGTTAAATACTTGTTCTGCTGAGATAAAATAATTTCCGCCACTTAGTTGTCTACAGATAAGCAAAAAATTTACAAAAAGATATAACCAAATAAATTGAGTTGAATCGAGTATTAAATTATAGTTAAAACAGCAATTGTCAAATAAAAACGTCTAGTTAAACTTATGTATGTTAAAAAAGAATACATTTAAATAAATAAATGAGAGAAATATTTGTTTTTTAGATTTTGAATCTACAATATTTTCTTAACTATAAGTTTAAGACAATCTGTTTGAAAAAAAGCAGTTTTTTATTAATTCTACCAATCCTTGTAGGGTGTTAACTAAAGTATGTTTTGTTTCTGGTTTCAAAGTATTATGACCCTTTAATCGCTTTCCCTCTGACATCTTAGAAGTTGCATCGGCAAATACTAAAATTTCTTTAAATCTAAGGTCATCGATTGTTTGGAAAAGAGACCTATATTGTAACAATAAGTAAAACATCACAACCTTTCCTCTTTACATTTAGCATGTTCCATAATGAAACAGTTGTTGATAAAAAAACAGGCAGTGTTCTCAAAATTAGCTAATCTCAATGCTGCGACGGTTTTTTCATTAAATACAGCAACCATGTTTGCAACATTTTCACGCAAGTAAGTATGCTAGGGTACACTAACTTGCGTTAAAACTTTGTAGTTTTGGCAACACACAATTTCTATCTATTATATAATTGAATAATGTGAGACCAATCACCAGAGAGAGGTTGATTATTAATTTTTAAACTAGTTGTTTGTGTTTTTCCCTTAAACCAATTATTTCTTATACTTTTAAACAAGTGAACTGGGTTGTGTAGCATAATAACTGGTTGTTGTTTTTCTATAACACCTTGCCATGGAAAACTATTATTAACAACTTTGGTAAACACTTCGATTTTTGGGATGGTTATCTGATAAGAGACACAGTAATTCTCCTTCTGCATCAACTATTTGTCTATTTATGTTTATGATCAAATCGTGAAGAAAGTGTACTGACAGTTTAAATATTGGTACATTTCTATAAATAAAAGAAGGTTTTCCAAACATAGGTGTAATCATAAAGACTATTAACGCTTTTGCAATTTTAGTGGGGCTATCCTCACTATATCCAATGAGGTATCCTCCTATAAAACTAACACTTAGTTTAATATACATCTCATCAAAGAGAAGGCAGCAACGCTTTTCAGAGCTATTAAAATTTTTAAAAACAACTTTGATTGAATTATTGCACTCTTTTTCATTTCCAACTTCTCCAACTCTTCCTACACACTAAAAAAATTAGCGGCATTATAACAGCATTTATATACGCAGATTCTTTAATGCCGTTATTTATGCTGTTATATTCGCGGATTGGAATAAATTATTGGGAGACCAAACAATTTAGGCGTTATAATGGTGTTATATTTGGTGTTACGTTATGCTGTTATGTTATGGTGTTATATTTAAAGACGTTTGCTGTTATATTGCTGTTATTTTTAATGATAGTTTTGCATTTATACTTGCTGTTATATTTGATGTCACACGTGACAGCAAATATATCAGCAAAATATCATTGCAATGCTGCCACATTTTGTCATTTAAATAAGAAGTTTAGAAAGTTTCTAAAGAGGTAGCACAAGGTGGTAAAAGTAAAAAAAAAAAAAAATGGAAGCAATTAAAGTTATATTTAAAGAAAATGCTGAAATAGTTATTGCCAGCAGCAGTAATTTTTTGGATTTTTGTGCAGCTGATAGGTTTATTTTATTGTATTGAGCACAATAGACTATTGTGCTCATATGATGCATGAGCATATTCTAAGGATAATTTTTAGTTTAAATTAAAAATCTTTAATGATGACTATTCAATAGTCATGAGATGACTATTGAATAGTCATCTCATGAGATATTGTGAAAGTTTAATAAAATTTAATCATTTTATTTCATTGTATCATTAAAGATTTTTAATTTAAACTAAAAATTATCCTTAGAATATGCTCATGCATCATATCTAACTAACATTTTAATTTAATGTTATTTGTTATGTAAAATTTAGATTCGAAATGGTACTATAGTAGTAACATCAAATCAAACACACTTGACTTGCTTTTATAATAACATGTTAAGATGTTATTATAAAGTTAAGTGTCGTTGTATCATTTCAAATCAAAATCTAAAAATACATTGTAACTTTTTTAAAATTGTTAAAATATAATTATAGCACCAAAAAATTAATCATTTCTTTTTTAGTATGATAATTTGAATTCAAATATCATATCAATAATTCAAATATCATGCTTAAAATAAAATGATGTTGAGCTATGTTTACTTTATTTTATGTTTTAGTTCGTAAAACCTTCAATTTGACCATTATTGAAGAAGTCAAGTGGAATAGCTGTAAAGTAAATGCTAGTAGTTTTGCTGCTCTTCTCAACGAACAAAATTTAGAGTTTACTATTCAAGCTCCATAATTTGTTGATATTTCCAACTTTCAACAAGTAACTTTTTTATCTGAGTTAAATAAGGCTGACACAGCTCAATCATCACCGTTATGCCAATCTTCATCTATTGTAAATGATAACGTAGATTTTGTAGTACCATCGAATAAAGTTAATTGGAACTTTGAAAACCAATGTATGGCTGAAGAATGTCATGTAAATGTTGTTCAGCCTTCGGTAAGTCAACTATATACACCAGTTGCACAATATATGGCTGAAGAACATCATGTTAATGTTGTTCATCCTCCGGTAAGACAAATATCTTCATCAACTTCTTCATCTTCATCTCTAAACACACCCAAGACACCGCGAAAGGTAATTAACTATAACTGTTCTGTTTGTTATTGTAAAACTTCAACTTATAGTTTTATGCTTCATCACTTAAAACTGCATGGCAAACAAGCAGCTGTTTTTTGTGAAAATTGTTTGTCCGAATTTAAAAGTTTTTCAGGTTTTCTAAAGCATTCCAAAAATATTCCATTAACCAGATCAATATCTGTACTATTGAAAATGAAGTTAAAAATGATGTTGTGAATCAAATTGGTAACACAAAACTTAATGAAGATTATTTAGGAGCTTTGGCATTACATTTACAAAGAAAGCACAGATGTGCTCAAAATGTTTTAAACATAATTTTCAGTAATTTAAAGGAGATGCTTTCTCTATTAAATATTGACATTGAGGCTTTAAAAGCCACTTGTGATAAACTCTCAACACAATATTTATGGGAAAAGTATTACAAGAATAATTTACAGACTCCAACTGCAAAAGTGATTGGTCTGAATAAGCAAGGTTGTATAATTCCTTTCATTGAAATATTGTTTTTCCTATTACAATCTCAGGAAATTAATGACTTTACAGCTGTGAATGGGGACACAAACCATGTGAAAATCGGAATATATTGTGATGACCTTGGAGTAACAAATCCTTCAGGAAAGGCGCGTAAAAAGCAAAAAATGTTTGTATTTTACTTTCAAATCTTAAACATCCCTTCGTTGTATTGTGGTAGACTGTCTTCTATTTTTCCGTTAATTTTTACTCATACTAAATGGGTAAAAGATAAATATTTTTACAGTATTCTTTTTAGCGATTTTATTTCCTCCATAAGCCAGCTGGAAAATGGAATTGTAATTAAAGTTAGGGGTGTTTCAAAAATAATTATAGTTGAAGTAGTATACTTCTCAGGTGACTCTCTTTCTGCAAATGCAATCGGAGGTTTTAAAGAAGGTTTTAGTGAAAAGACATTGCGCTGTTGCAGAAGTTGTAACTCAACCAGACAACAAATGAAAGATTTTTCTAACCATGAAGAATGCAGTATTTGTAACGCTCCAGAACATATGATACGTTTGACTTGGTTTAAGCAAAGCTGATAAATCAAAATGGTCTAAATACTATGGCATTGTTTCAAAAAGTATACTGTCAAGCATTCCGGGATTTGATGTGACAAAACAGCTTTTATTTGATTTTATGCATGATTTGTTGGAAGGTTTCATTCTGCTTCAGTTAGAGTTATTTTTGTCGTATGCCATTCAGAACAATTTTTTTATTTTAAAAAAAATAAATGATTGGCTGCAAGGATTTAGCTATGCTAATGGTATTGAAAAGCCTAATATGATCCATACCTCAATGCAAATTTGTGGTAGTTTTGGCAGTGGTCAAACTTTGACTCTTTCTCGTATTATATCATTTTTTATCTTAGATCACATATGTCAAACCGATGTCTATTTCATTTGTTTGTCAAAACTTATTCAGGTGCTTCAACTGTGTTTATTTCCTGTTGTTACTCCTCTTTTTTTATCGAATCTAAAAGCCTTCAAGATCATCATCGCTTATTTTTGTATTTGTATCCTGATAAATTCATTCCAAAGTTACATTTCCTTATCCACTACCCTGCTCAGGCTGAGCAGTTTGGGCCTCTACGTGAACATTGAAACGTGGCTTATGAAAGAAAACATCAGGTTGTGTAGAATTTTACGTGGCTTATGAAAGAAAACATCAGGTTGTGTAGAATTTTTGTCATTTCAATTTCAAGAACATTCCCTATTCAGCATGTAAAACGATGATCATTAATACCACAAACAATTTTTTCAATGCAGCAAGGGAAAGACGTGGTGATGTATATGGACAAGTGGACAAGTTGAAGTTTAAAAAAGGATCTATTATTTCTGTTAAAGTAAATGGCATAATTTACAAGATTGGTGATATTACTTCATGCTTACAAGAAGAAAAGTTGATATTTTATGGAAAGGATAAAATCCTTTCCATATCGTCAGAAAATGACAAGCATGCTTTTAAATGCTCTAAACTTATAGTACAAGCCCACTCAGCATACTTGATATGTTGTGAATCTTCTGAATAAGTTGTCATTTATCCAGATACTTTGATATTTCCTTGGTGTGTCATCCAATATTATAATTTTTCAAGTTCTGTTAATGGCAGAATCAATATTTTTTCTTTAGCAGTGCCAAATCTAAATTTTTTTGCTATATGCATATGAGTTTAACTTTTAATGGACATATTAATTTGTTAATTTTTGTAGAATGGTTTTTTAGATTTCACAGAAGAAAAAAAAGTTTAAAAATATAAAAACATTCTTCAAATAAATGTTCAAAGGAAATTCAGATTTAAATATATTTATTTTATTTTTCTGATTTTGAAGTATCAAAATCAGAAGAGGTTATATTTTTAGTTTATTAACTTAATTTGGATAGCAATATGATTAGCAATGTTTTAAATTAGTAAGTGATTGGGGTTGATATTGACCGGGGCCAGGTTTGATAAAACATTGCCAGGGCTGCATTTATATTGATAAATCCAATAAGTATATTATTTTTAGGTAAAATTCATGTTGAGCTCCAAAAGACTTCAGGAAAGGAGGAAGAGGGGGAAGCTTGGAGAGGATATTTGAGCTTGAAAAAGATCTCTCCCCTAATACAGCTTAAGGACTCTCAGTGGCTGGTAATGGCTAGTAACCCTTGCAAATTTTGTTTGTTTAGTTGAGGCAGGGTTTGTAAAAAGCTCTATTTTTAGCAGGGGCCCAGTCACTTACTACTTGAAATATTTTACTAATTATTATACACTTTTTTTTTACTATTTATTTTTTTTTACAATCAAAAATACATTACAAGTAAAGTTGTTTAATGTATAGTATATAAAGAAATTTTATAAAGTGTGTATACAAACCTTAGCACCATGCATCAAAGCATGTTATTTTATACAATTTTATAATAAATAATTTTTAGTTGGCCAAGTGATTATGTGCACCATTGTTTATTTTAGAATTTACGGTATTTTAATTTTTATATTTAATAGAATGAACTACTAAAGTCAAAACCATCTATCAATGTTCTCGCAATTTTGAATAGAAATCTTTTTCAACCAAAAATATATGAAAAACTCCCGATTCAATTGTCAGTGGCTCCCTGTTTAATAATTGCTGAGTTAAAGCGCCTTTATCCACACTATAGTTTTATAGAAGAATCATGTTCATTTTTTATTACTAAAGCCTTCTAATCACCTTGAAAGTTCGCTTGTTTTACAATGTAAATTAGGTTCCAAAAAAGCAAAGGATTTGTTGTTTAAGAAATCTGAAGTAAGTAAAATGAAATTTTTTAATGGTTTTATTCAATTCTTTTTAATGATTTCATATAATGAAGTTATATAAATGACTACTTTTTTTTTGCATTTATATATCTAGTTAATCTAGAATTTATTTGTTTATTACTAATATTTATTAATGATGTACATTTCAGTATAAACTTAGGTTAAACGCATTTATAATAAGGGGTCGTCCATAAAGTATGTATGCCAAAAATTTTGAAGTTTGACCCTCCCCCTGTTGCCATGCATACTTTTAAGATTGCCCCCCAGTACAACAACCCCCACCCCATCTCCCTCCTACTAAAAATTAAAAATAGTAATTGGAGTGAGATTAGTTTAAAGTATGATATGAAGTTAGGTTTGACCATAAATCTAAGGATACTTTGAGGTGCCAAATAATATATCTGCTCATTTATTTATAATGTAATTTAATGTAATATTATGCTATTATCTACACAGGTGGATTCATAGGGTGGGGGCGATGGGGCAATCACACTCCATAGTTAGTTAAGCTGTCTAGATAAAATTTCAATTTTAATATTATGTTGTGCAAATTTTAAACTGTGTGATTGCTAGGGTACAAATCATTGAAACCTGAAAATCGCTCTCCCTCTCTTTACTAGATGGTCCGGATTCACCATATAATAAGAAATTAAATTCGTTCTCCCCCCTCAAACTGCATATTTTGGATCTGCCCTTGATTATATACAGTTATTATACATTATACAGTTATGTATATTATACAGCTAGTATATGTAATATTAGCGCAATATTATATACAGCTATTTCTGTACAATTCAAGAGTGATTAGCCCAAACAGGGGCGCAGAAAGATTCCAGAACCTTAGTTTCAGAACCCCAGCTTATGGGTTCTAGAACCCCAATGTTTTCAAAACCCCATTTTGCATTAGGGGTTCCAGAACCAGTTCTCTGAAACCCCTTACAGTCAGAGTTCCAGAACCCCAAATAAAGGTCGGAGTTCTAATCCCTGCTTTAAAACTATTTGGAAAAAACCTCAATTAAATTAAATTTTCGGTAGTTTTTATAGTTAAAAATTGATTTCTTTAAGTCTGACGATCTGGTCGATGAGTTGAAGATACCTGCAAAGTACGGTCCACAAGTTCTTTTCAACTCAACACAATATGGCATTCACAGTAGATCAGGATGCGAAATGATTAGCACAGATTTACAGACAATTAAAGAGGTTTTATGCGTTATTGTTAGCATTTATTATTTGTTATATCTATCGTATCCATCTTTTTCACAACTGGCGGGCCTTTTCCAGGAGATGTTACTAAATAAAAGTTTTGAAAAAAAATCAAAAAAGACTTTCTCTTATATTAAACAGTTAACTTGATTTTTTGAATGCGATTACTAGTTATTAACTTTATTATTTTATAAATTGTTTTATTTTATATTTTTAATTTGTTATTACTTATTGTTGTTACTTATAATTTTATATTTAAGTTGTTACTTTAAAAAAAAAGTTGGGAAATAAAGCTTTCTTTGAAATAATAAAAATAATAAACTGATTTTGTAAAGTTTTGATAATGTATTTTTTGACATATATTTAAAAATATAAAAACTAATCCTTGGTTTAAGTAGTTACATAAATTACCAGATTTATTAGTAGATCATTGAAATGGTTTATGGTGTTTTATTTACAATTATGTTAAAATGAATTTATTTCGTCATTGTATATATTAAAAATATTTTATAGTATGTATTTTATGCCTTACTAGTAATAATAGCATTGAAAGGTTGTTAAAATACATCAGATAATTAGTATTAATTATATAATGTAGTGAATAAATGATTTAGGTTTTACTTGAATAGAAACATAGCATGTAAATATATATATATATATATATATATATATATATATATATATATATATATATATATATATATATATATATATATATATATATATAACAGCATATTATGCTGTTAGTTTGGTTTTCGAATATAACACCAAATATAACGCCATTGGATAACGATATAACAGCATTTTGTTGTTATTTAAATTTAAATAATAGCATTTTGCTGTTATTTAAATAAATATAACAGCATTTTTGAAAAAAATAACACCATAATGACACTAAATAACGCCATTTATGCTGTTATATCGTATCCCAATGCTGTTATATTTTTATTAAATATAACAGCATAATTTTTTAGTGTGTAATTTCGAAATAAGAGTCTTTGGACTTAGCAAACAAAGCAGATTTCTTAAATGTCGATAACAACATCTGGAGGACAAATACAGTTCAAGTGCACGACGTATACATAAAGTAGAAAAGCAAAGTCCATTAGGAGAATAAGTGGTGAGGCGTAGTTGTTCAATAAGGAAAGAAATTTCTTCAGAAGTGTCACTGTATGTATTTTCAATTTGACTAATCAAACTTAATACCTCATCTTTTATTTCAGGACTTGAGGTACAAATTCTTTTGAGAATAGCTTCAAGCTGTGACCACCGATTAAGACAATGAGAAAACCTGAGCAGGTCATAGCAGTTAACTTTTGTATTCCTGCAATAAATATTAACTTGACGTGAATGACAATTAATTTCAACAGAAAATATTGTTTCAGGTAGACATGATTGAGAAACATCAAGCAGTATGACTTTTGAATTTTCAATGAATGCAAAGTATTGAGGATATCTAAATTAGTTTAATAACAAGTAAACTTTAAATCAAAACAAGCAAATATCATAAAACAAAGGGGGAAAAATTAATTTTACCATTCTTTTATTTCAGACAACATTATTTCAACCTCATAAAATCTAATTAAATCAATTTGATTGAAATCATCCATTTCATCAGGAATTGCATTTTGTGATGTTAAAGAAATTTTATTTATATTTGTAGATCTTGGTTGTGTTGAAACTGTTTGGCGCACTATTGAAGATGTGCATCCAGGAAAAAAAGATGAAACTAATCATTGTAAAACTTATCAATAAAAACAACTTAAAGGATGCTTACCTCAAACTTTGATCTAGGAGGCTTGTGCATTTTGCAGCCTGGTGGCCAGTGTTTTTCACACACACATATTTGAAGTTTCTTTTTCAAACGCATTTGGAATAGATGACAGCCAATATTGTAATTTTTGTGTGTCACTTGGAAGCATGTAAACATGAAGCTTTTCTTCTGTTAAATAATTCTGTTAAATAATAAGCTTTTCTTCTGTTAAATAAAGTTGATGTTGAATAATTCGTGGTACAAATAACTCTTGAACATTTTCTTGGCATGATTATAACTAATTACTATTGTAACACCATTATTATTTATTATAAATAATATTTATAATAAATCATATTTAAAATATGACATAACATTTTGTAACATTTAATAGATTCATTACTTAAATTAAAAATACATAATAAACATTTTTTAATCTTACTACTTTCAAAAATTAAAAACTCCAGGATTTAAGGGGATTAAAGGAGGGATTAAAAACTTTAGATTTTTCAATAAAACTAGCAATTTTTTTCAAAAAAAAAAGGGTTTTTTTTGAGAAATATTGTAAATATCTCCCATATTTCTATTGCATTAATCTATATTTTATCAGTACGATACTGATGAAAAATATATACATTATATTAGTAATATAAATTTATATCACTTTAATGTATTCTAAATTGTGAAAAAAAAAACAGGTAAAGAAAGTCATTTAAAAAACAGCTGTTTGCTATTATTTTTTTTCGTAAAAAAAAAGCTGTTTTACTGTTACCGTAAGATTGGGTGGCTTTGGCCCATTTTGCATCTTAATGCCTATTGCATGATAGCTACAAAAGTTATTTCCTCAAACACTAAGTACTTTTAGAAGCGCATAGAAAGGGCAGTTAAAACTATCTGTCTCCCATTTGAAAATTATTTACCTGAAGTATCTTTTGGGTGGTTTAAATTAT